GGCTTACATGTGGTAGCAGGTAGTATACAGCATGAGGAAATTATTTTATTTCCATCTGATATACTGCTTAAAAATCACATTGTTTACAGGAAAGCACAATTTGTTACAGCTGACATTCTTGTAATTGTAATTTATAGCTTAGTCGAGAACATATATAGTGATGTGTTGGTTTCTATAGGAGGTTGTTGAAGAATATTTTCTTAGGTTGAGATCGTAATCAGTGATTTCCCTATCGAATATTTGAGCACTGGTATTGTGGAGAGGATACGTTTAATATGGAGTATATGTATATCCTTCACATTTGTGGAAAAACATATTAAAATTAATAAAGGAGAAATTTGAAAAGAGATTATTTCGGGAAATGTTGGAACTTGTAATAGTCAATCACGATAATTTTGATATCATGCACTTGGGAGCGTTCTGCAATGTCAGTATTTCGAAAAAATGCACTTACGACCATTATAAATATCGAAATATATGCCAGGTTTAATAGATTACGTAATTAGAATAACAGAAAAATATATGCAAGAGTTTATCATGTGAAAAAATTCGGAAATAACATGTCCCATATAAATAAATAATGATTTGATACGCTATCAGAGACATTCAATCGTAAGATTTTTCCGACGGCTAAACCGTGCTCAAGTGACCATAATTATGCGCAGTAGTCATTTTCGCACACCTATCATAATGTACACTCACAACCTAACATCAGTGTAAATTAACGAGCTTCGCCCCCTCCAAGATTGATATTGATGCGCAGTAGTCTACTGCGCAAACCTAACCTAACCTAACCAAACCAAACCTAACCTAACCCAACCTAACATCAGCGATTTGTACCCAAGGGTACCCCTGAGATACAGTTGGATGCGCAGTAGTTCACTGCCACACCTAAGAGTGACGTCATTTACGAAGGTGATATTTCACCGAACGTAATACAGGACTGTCGTATCATGGAATATAATTCGAAATATGACGTTTGTATAAAATTGACTGTGTGGACTGTTTTTCCTCCAATAATATGAATCTGTGCTCTTATATTCCGATGCTATTTTCCTACGTGATAGCTTAGATTGTGTCGAAATCGCCGCTCCCACCTCACGAGTTTGAGATTCCCCCACGGTGATACAAAAACTACGGAGCATTACATATTATGGCATTATGCTTCCCTCCAATGGCACAACATTATGACGAAAAATCTTTTTTTTCAGTGAAGTCGTTCCCTTCTTTGTTGTAAATTGATACGCGACCAATTGTGTGACTGCTTGGCATATATTTCGCCCGAATATCCCTTCTGAATAGGAAGTAGAATATAAATTGTACAAGAAAATGTGTAAAAATAGTTTGAAAAATTAGTGCCCTGTAATGGAACTGATAATGGAATATTTCTCTTTCAGTCATGTTAAGCGGTTGGCTGCCCTGTCACTGTGACGTAAATATCCGGTGTACAAGATGAAGGTAGGTTTCTTTCCTGGTATGAAGATGTGTTTATAAATAATAAGACGGTGTTATATGTGTATGGTTGTATACATATATGTTCTAGTTGTGATTAATGATTTGCCTGAATGTACAACTTGAAATATTCAGTGAGATAGTGGAAATGGTAGGCTTCAATGTGTATATTTTCCTGGACCGAGTAATGGCGAGTGCACTAAATTTGACAAACTTGTGTTTCCTCTGTTCCACAACGAAATGGAATTGTTTTCCATCTGAACCATACAGCTGAAGTACGTGTGAGGGAAGAATACACCATAACGAACATTTACTGATTTAACGAAAGTAAGTGCATATAAGAATAGTCTGTGTGTTTTGAGAGACAATGTGTTTTTGAGGTTATTCTTGCACTGTTATTAGTAATCTCGTGTGAAGTATGTACAGTGGTTTGTATAAAGTGTGTTTTAGTGGTTATATGGATACAGAGTGAATTAGATTTTATGAGTGCATATTTGGTATGACAGAAAAGAGGCAGTAGTATTGGTAGGTAGCCCTGTATATGAGAGGTGGCAGTTTATTATTAGTCAGAATGATATATATATTTTTTTGCATTATTATAAGTACTTGTGAGAAGAGGGTGCAAAGTGAATTTCTAGTTGCCATTGAAGAATTTATTTTTTGAATTTATTTCTTAGTTCTGTGTGACAGTGTGTTGGGTATAAAGTACGTTATTTTGGTCACAATAATGTCGAGTGTAAAGCGTAGTTTAAATTAGTTTGTGTAACGTTATATTTTTGTGTGCGATATATACAGTGATGTATAGTGAGGTTTTGTAGTGTTTGAGAATGTTAAGATTTCAATTGACGCACAATGGATTCGGAAGTCTCCACTTGTATAGACATATCTTGTTTGAATGGAAAATTCTTGCTTGTAAGAAGTCTGTATGCTAATTGAAAGACATGTTGTCATTGGTGTTATGCTGGCAATCGTGTTCAGTGACAGTGTAAAAAGTGCACAGTGGTGTGTAGAGTATGTGTTATAGCATGAAGAATGATGGCAAGTGATTTGTAAGTTAGATGTGTGTTTCGGTGTGATAGACAGCTGATTGCATTCTTGGCATGTGATCTTCTAGGCTTACATGTGGTAGCAGATAGTATACAGCATGAGGGAATTATTTTATTTCCATCTGATAAACTGCTTAAAAATCACATTCTTTACAGGAAAGCACGATTTGTTACAGCTGACATTCTTGTAATTGTAATTTATAGCTTAGTCGAGAACATATATAGTGATGTGTTGGTTTCTATAGGAGGTTGTTGAAGGATATTTTCTTAGGTTGAGATCGTAATCAGTTATTTCCCTATCGAATATATGAGCACTTGTATTGTGGAGTGGNGTGGAGTGGATACATTTAATATAGAGTATATGTATATCCTTCACTTTTGTCGAAAAACATAACAAAATTTAATGGAGACATTTGAAAAGAGAATATTTCGGGAACTGTTGGAACTTGTAATATTCAATCACGATAATTTTGATATCATGCACTTGGGAGCGTTCTGCAAAGTATATGACGTATATATACGTATATGACAAGTGTTGCAGACATGTTATAAGTCGTCCATAATCCCTATTTACAGGTATTTATTTAGAAACGAGAATGCGTCACCAGCCTTACAGGCAATTTGAAACATCAATGCAGCTTATAGCTATTATATGTGTATACCGCTAGAACGGATTATTTGTGACGCGTATTACAGGCTATTATATTTGGCGTCCTAATAACCAGTAGTACAGACAACTAGAGTAGCATATGTTTGGCCAGTATTATGGCCTAAGTCAGACTCAGTCAATCCATTATTACAGGCAGGTAGATACGGCGTATATATAGTTAGTGTTAATGGGAAGCGAATGGAGCCTATGGAACCGTTATTTCACGTACGCTGAAAGTTGTCATTGCAGCCAGTGCTACTGGTAGTTGTAGCCTCTTATTCATAGTGTTATATGATAGTAGAGAAGCATCAGTACAGCAAATGTTATAGGAAGTTGAAGTCATGGTGTCTACTCTATGGAAGCCAAGCTTATCCGACGCTTTGAAGACTTGAATGGCTTTTTTTCACATAAGTTGATCTTTGATTGGTTTAATTTTTAAAATTGAGGTATTCTTTAATTTTATACTGACCAATCAGTTATTTCCTTTGCTACCATTGGTTATCAAGTCGCCATCACGCAATAAACATCCGGTACAGCTGTATAGATGCTTGATTTCGTGGCGAGTGTTAAAGCAAGTTGAGACGCAACACCACCAGCGAGTGCCAGTTTTATAGACAGCTATAAAGTAATCCGTTGGGAATGCTATAGAGAAGTATTGTGATGTCAGAACAACCAGTACTTCTGGCGGATGCATGACGTTATACATGTACTGTATTGTTGGAAAATTTAGACACGTCAGTATATCTAAAGTAATAGATGGGTAGAGATGCGTACTTACAGCCAGTAGCTATAGGAGCTAAGTATAGTGACGCCTATACAGCCAGAAGGATTACGGGAAGGCGATTCATATCTGTATGGTCGGTATCAATGGCGTGAAGCGAGTTGAATCATCAGTTGGAAACAGGTACTGTTGAGCCCATTTCATTAGTTTTGTAAGATTGTGTGTTTAAGTTGAAATGTTAGACGGCTGGCCGGAAGGCGAGGAGACAGTCCTTGGCAGTCGAGCGAATTGTTTTTAGAAAAGACTGCTTAAGCATCAGTGGGAAGACCCGGTCAGGTTTCGCTTAGCGCGACAAGGCATGTCCGGCAAGATGCCGACCTCAGGGATTTCGCACGCGCAGCTTTCGAAATTGAAAAAAAGCTGAATCTTGGGATTGAGAAAAGAGGTCGTTTCAGGCACTCTGTTTCTAGCAGTTGCCAGAAACGAACGAGAAAAAGCAAAGTGTGCCTGCTGAAGACCTGGGGATGGCGCCATAGCTCTTCCTGTGCTTCATGTTTAGCGCGGGTGAGTACTGGTCTGTGGTCGGGTCACTGATGGTTCAGTAGAACTTTTGGGTACATTATTTTGGTGGTTTAATGTGTTTTAGACGGTAAAGGTGTATAAGGGTTTCAATTTTATTATATATATTTCATTTCTTGTTGTTGTTTGAATAACTCGAGTTTTGTGACCCTCCCAGTGCAGCATGCTTTCCACAACGTAGGTTAAGAGATATCCACGGACGTCCGATAGGGGGTGAGTACAGTCCATGCCCCCTATCAGGGCACAACAAATTGGTGGCAAGCGGCGCGATGTTGTTATTCTGCTCGAATTACCGGGCTTACGCACCGGAGATGGTTAAGAAATTTTAGGAGACGTGGATAACTTTTAACCACCCACAAGTTTAAGTGGCAGTGTTTTGATTTATGTGTTGCCGTAACTAGACATACGGATTTGTAGGGATCAAATATGTTTGCCGTGGCGCTGTGACTTATTTTAATTTTTATTAAAATTATTTTCAAGGGAAGATGCATATGTTTATAAATTTAAGCAGTGAGTGGTCGAACTTCATTGCGAATTGCTTTTGAAAGAAATTGTGGGACACCTACGAACATAGGTTAGCTTACAGTAGATACACGTTGGCCCTTTGGCGTGAAGCATGGCTCGTGTGGGGGAAATGGAGGTTCTCCAAGCACAGATGGAGGAACTACGGGTTCAGTTGGAAACCCTCAGAATTGGGGAGGCCCACAGAGGGCAGAGCAAGGACGTTTCACTTGTAGCCGGGATAAAGGAATGGACGGGGGAAAGTAAGGGGAGATCTGTATACGAGTTTTTAACGCAGATAGAGACATTGGCCAAGGTGAGTGGATGGACTAGCCACGATAAAGCTTTCATTGTTAAGGCCAAATTGCAAGGGTTGGCCCTGCAGTTCTTGAATGGAAGGGAAGAGCTAGGTCGAGATGGATGTTCCTACGAAGTTCTGAGGCAGGCACTGATTGAGAGGTTCAGTGACAAGCTCCCTGACCAGTATTACTATACTAGACTACAGGACGCGGTTCAGGGGAAGAACGAAAGCGCGGAGGAGTTCAGTGACCGTTGTAGGAAGATGTGTCAAAGAACCATCAGGAAGGTTAACGACGAAGGGACCCAGCGTATAATTAATGAGGAGGCGGAACGTAGATTGTTGGCAGCCTATGTTCACGGTCTTAGGGGCATAGTGGGGCAACAAGTACAATTTCAGATGCCCAGCACGATGGAGCAGGCGGTGAGGTTAGCGGTCACAGTAGAAAACGTGGAGAAACACAAACAGCTAACCGAAGGAGTCAAGAAGGTATTTACCGCTAGGAGCGACGTTGAATGTTTCCGTTGCGGGAAAAGAGGGCATTATGCTAGGGATTGCCGACAAGAAACCCCCTCCATGACGTCAGGTCGGAGGTCGTGGCGAGATCAGAGCTCTAGGCGGAGGGACCCACCCTCCCGCGACCTTCTGCTCACTCGAGGAGGTAGAGGAAGGGTCGGATCAGGCAGGCAAAGCTTTCGGGGACCAGCGCGGCCTTGGGGCCCACCTGAGGACACTCTCTCGTCAGGCATCCAGTGCTTCCATTGTAATGAGTTTGGGCATAGACGCAGAGACTGCCCAAAATTTTCTCGAGCTGCCCAGCACCCAAACGGTCAGGGTTCGACGTCCAGATCCCCAGCGTCGAACCAGCAATAGAGTGCACGACGGTAGGTCGGTCGCACGTAGGAATTACTGGCCCAGAGTTGTTGCTAGAAATAGAAATAGAAGGAAGTTTCCACCAGGTGTTAGTAGATTCAGGAGCCAGCCTGAGCGTGATGAAGCCGGGAATTAATACGTCAGATATTCGTGCTACACGGACAGCAGCAAGAGGGATCACGGGAGCTAAATTGAAAACAGTAGGAGCGCAGTTGATAACATTTCGGGTGGGGAAAAAGATGTTTACCCATGAGTTTTTGATAGCCCCCCTGGATACGGAATATAGTGGTGTTCTAGGGGCTGATGTCCTCAGACGGATGGGGGCGTGTATCGATTTACGAACCGACACGCTAGTCCTAGGACGGACACACCATCAATTATCAGGACAGACGGTCGAGCGGTGTGCGCCAGTCCACCGCCAATGCCGGACGACACAGAGGGTGTCACCAGCGGGCTTGGCCAGCCCAAGGTTGACGCCGTCGGGTGGACCGGTTGAAGTACCTAACCCAGGGTTGAGCCCGGGAGGATCCTGTATAGATTTTTGGAACGTGGTGGCTCAGGAGCCAATCGTCATTCCCCCGTTGTCTGAGGGACTGGTAGTAGGGAAAATAGAGAAGAGTAAAGGGGTGGAGTTGCCCCGGGAGATATTAATTGAGCCCTTGGGATTAGGTACGCCGGGTGCGTACGTAGCTAGAGTAGCGAGCCGGATTTTTACTGCAGGAGAATTGGAGGAAATGCGAAGCCTAGGCGGAAATGACAGGAAATCTGGTACCAGTGGAAAGAGTGAGAGGCTCGATAGGGTCATGACCGTACGAGAGGATAACGGGCCTAGGTACTGCGTATTAAAGGTGTTGAATACCCGTGGTCAATATTTGGAGTTGGGGAAGAATATACGCTTGGGACAGGCCGAGCCGCTTGGGGAGATTCCAACCGAGCAAGCAGGAGTTGATTTTCGCTACCCGGGGAGGAAGGGAACGGCGAACTTCCGGGTTAGTTCCGTTAGCACAAGAGATGCTCAGGAACTCAGGGAAGTAAGGGAGAAACTAGAGCAGAAGTTAGATCACTTGACCGAAAAAGAGAAACAAGTCTTGTTACCAGTGCTTGAAGAATATTTAGATTTATTTTGTAACGACAGCACAGGGGTACTACCCACTACGACGAAGGGCTATCACGAGATTCGGACAGGGGACGCCCTGCCGATTAAGAAGAACCCATATCGTGTACCCTATGCATTAAGGGAGGAGATGAGACGCCAGCTAGATGAGATGTTGGCTAAAGGGGTTATTACTTCCTGCGCCTCGCCGTGGGCGGCGCCAGTGATTTTAGTCCCCAAGAAATCACCGGACGGAATTCCAAAATATAGATTTTGTACCGATTTTCGAGGATTAAATTCAGTGACGAGTACACCAGTGTACCCCATACCTGATATCAAGAGCAACCTCTCACTTATGGCGGGGAGTAGATATTTCACGTTATTGGACATCGAAAACGCGTATTGGAATATTCCTATACGGGAGGAGGATAAGGATAAGACCGGATTCGTCACCCCATTCGGTAGTTTTAGGTACGAGAAAATGGCCTTTGGTCTTTCAGGCGCCCCTTCGACATTTCAACGCGTCATGGATGCCATGTTGGTGGGGTTGCGTGACGTAGAGGTACTCGTATATTTGGATGACTTGTTGCTGTTCAGTGAAACGATTGAAGATCACATGAGACGAATGAAGTTGGTGTTTGAACGCGTGCGAGAGGCGAATTTCAAATTAAGCGTCGCCAAATGCACTTTCGCAGTTCCGGAGGTGGTATATCTCGGTCATGTTGTTAATAGCAACGGCGTTGCGCCAGACCCGAGTAAAGTTACAGCCATCAGAGAATTCCCACGGCCAAGAACGGTGAAAGATGTCCGCTCATTTTTAGGCCTATCCGGATATTATAGGGCTTTTATAAGAAATTACGCAGCCATGAGTCGGCCCTTAACACAACTAACGAGAAAAGACGAGAAGTTTGTTTGGACAGATTCCCAGCAACTGGCCTTCGATGATCTCAAGGCCGCCCTGACATCCGAATCGGTGCTGGCGCACCCTCGGTTTGATCAGCAATTTATTCTTAGTACAGATGCTTCTGATTATGCTATTTCTGCCATTTTCAGTCAGCTGCAGAATGGGAAGGAACGGCCTATCAGCTTTGCTAGCCGTATGCTCAATGCTGCGGAAAGAAATTACAGTACGACTCAGAAGGAGTTACTAGCTGTTGTATTTGGTACACAAATACATAGGTGTTTTCTATATGGGAGAAAATTCAAAATTGTTACCGATCATGCCGCCCTTAAGTGGCTGATCACGGTGAAGAACCATCATTGTGCCCGATTGACTAGATGGGTTCTCAAATTATCTGAATATGATTTTGAAATTGAACACAAGGCAGGCAAGAAGCATGTAAATGCGGACTGCCTATCGCGACATATTGCTTCCGTTGCTACTGGAGCCGCAAGCCGGAGATGTCAAAGTGCTGAGTCAGGCGAAACCCTCACTCGCGAGACTGTTTACACGGGACAGCAACAGGATCCTTATTGTAAAGAAATAATGGATGAAATTAGCACAGATACGAGGTCAAAATTCTTTATCAGTGACGATGGGCTTCTGTACGCGGGACCAAATTTGGAAAACGGAAAGTTGGTTGTACCTCATAACTTGATACAGCCCATTATCGAAATGCATCATGATAAGGTGTTTGCAGGGCATCAGGGAGTGAAACGGACCCGAGACTTAATTAAACTTAACTACTTTTGGCCCAATATGGACCGGGATGTGGAAACGTACGTGAGGCAGTGCGAATCGTGTGCCAAGTTTAAGGTAGGGCGACACCCCACTGCACCCTTGGGAGAGTTACCTGAGACGACTTCCCCATTCGAAATGACCTCTATAGATATATGTGGCCCTTATCCAGAAACAAAGAGGAGAAATCGGTACCTTCTTACTTTCATAGACCACTTTAGCCGTTATCCGGAAGCTATCCCCATACCACGGCAAGACGCTCCGAATGTTGCACGGGCTCTTGTTACGGAGATATTTTCACGGTTGGGTTGTCCTCAGGCTCTATCATCGGATCAAGGATCCAACTTCATGTCGGAACTTTTCCAGGAGATGTGCAAGCTGCTGCAGGTGAAAAGAATTAACTCCACTGCGTTCAATCCGCAGATGCAAGGCAAGGTTGAGAAATTTCATCTGGGGCTCAACCAAACCTTGAGCCACTATGTAAATAAGTATGGGAATGACTGGGATGAGTTCGTGAACTACGCCCTGATGGCCCATAGGGCCATTCCTCATTCCATTACTCGATACAGTCCGTTTTACTTGCTACACGGACGTCAGATGCGCCTTCCCATGGAGGATGACCTCACTACTGGAAAATTTTTAAAGGGGGAACCGAAAGATAACCGTAGTTTGATTCAGGACCACATTGACACTTTGGCTGACCGCCTCGAGGAGGCGTACCGTGTTGTAAGGGAAAATAATAAGGTGGGCAGAGAGAGGCAGAATGAATGGTATGATAAGGGAACGAGATTAGTTATTTTTCAACCCGGTGAAATGGTTTATCTTCGTCAGATGAGCAAGGTCAAACGTGGTTGTCCAAAATTTAGGCTTAGGCGGAGGGGCCCTTACGAGGTGGTACGTAGATTGTCCGATTTGAATTATCTTGTGCGAGTATCCCAAAGGAAGGAGCTGGTGGTAAATGTTAACAAAATGAAGAAATGTTGCGTGAAAACTGTCCCCGCGCCAAGTGGGACAAGGGATATCCCGTTAAGGGTTCAGGAAAGAGACGGAGGTCAGGACGAGGCGAATGACGAGGGAATAACTCCACTTGCCTCCCATGATCACGTGGAGGATGATGGTAGCTTCGACTTAACGCCAACCACTTTGAAAGGCGAGAGGACCGAGGATCGAAGTCAGGACCCCACCTGGGAACCAAGTAGACATCAGGAGGTTCAGAGAGCCACCGACAAGACACCCGACACCGGAAGGGAAACGGGGGCTAGGTACTGGTTACGGAGTAGGCAAGGGGAAGACACAGTAGCGTCCGATGGGACCCCGACAGAAAGAGAGGGTGAAGGTAGTGACCCCGAGGAAACGGACGCCGAGCCCCGCCCGAGCGGATTACCCGAAACAGGGAACGTCCCGGAACACGAGGAACGCACTGAGCACCCCCCTCGATATAACTTGCGACCACTCCCTGGGAGGAAAATTTAAATTATGAATTGTTTTGTTACTTAGACAATTAACTTTTTGTTTACTTACAGGTGTAGGTGCTGGGATAGGGGATACACCCGAACTGAATAGGGGACTCGTGTTCCTCCGAGAACGCGAAATTTTAGTCACTGGAAATTATTGGAATGTGGTGATTAATTTCGATGTTCAGTGGTATCAAGGTACGCTGCAAGACATCGAACAGGTATTTAAGCAGCTGGAATGGAACCGAAACCACCGAGGCCAACAGACTAACTTAGTAGATTGGGAAGAAGTGAATCATGCCCATCAGGCCGTAAATAAAGTAAATCAGGAATTACTCACCCTTGTCAAATTGTTACCCACCCCTACTGACGCAGGCTCGAATCATAGAAGGAGGAGAGGGCTGATTAATGTGGGAGGAGATATTCTTAAGTTTTTATTCGGGGTAGCAACAACCCAGCAAATGCAAGAATTGCATACCACAGTGGAGCACATAAAGACAAGAGAAGGGGAAGTGATTCACGCCATTCAAAAGCAATTAACCTATCTTAAATCCATAGATGATGCCATTTCCGAAAATGCTATGGGATTGGCAACCGTGACTCGCGTTCTTAAGAGTGTGATTACTAACGCTCTTACTTATCAGAAATCTGTTGAGGACGAAATTCAGAACTTGAAAACATTGATAAATTTTCAGGCAAATGTTTCACGCGTCATGCGCGAATTGGAATTTACGGTGATGCAGTTACAGCAATCGGTCATACAACTGCAAGAGGGGTTAGAAATCAGCGCCGCTGGAAGGCTATCTTCAGTTCTGATTCCTCCGCATAACTTATCCAAAATTTTACAAGAAGTTGCTTTGAGATTGCCGCAGGATGTTTCGCTAATAGCCGGTTTTACTGTGGAAAATATGTATGTGTACTATGAGGTTGCGACT